TCATTCCATTTTGGATTATCTACACTGTTAACTCATCTACCTGAGCATGGATATTCAGAGTTTCCCACAATTGGCTGCTGAGGATCTGGAAAGGAAAAAGGCTAGGGAAGAAAATAAAGTTTGAAGGTAAGCAGAGGGCAAGGCATAGTAAAAATGCCATAACAAACATTGAACTTACTACCAGTGTACAAGATTTACAGCATGAATTTATACTTTTTTTCCATTTACCAGATAATGTAATCCTGGGCAAATGATTTAATCTCCGAAGCTTAGGGTTTTTATTTTCAAATGACTTCACTTATCTGCCTTAGGATCACCAGATTGGGTAGACTGTTAACACTGATGGCCCCAAATGAACCACACCTGGTGTTTGTACTCTTGTGTAAGTCCCCTCCTACACTGATTCTGGGCCAACATGATTTGGCCCATTGGACATTATTAAGCAGAAGCTTGAAAAGCATTTGCACATTGGTGCTTGTTCTCTGAACATTTTGCTCTTGCAACCCTGAGCCATTATGTAAAGATGTCTAAATAGCCTATCGGAGAAATGGTGGCGAGAGATAGCTGGCCAAATCCCAGCTGTTCATCTGTGCCAGCTGAGCACCAAACATGTAAGTGAAGAAGCCATTCGACATTCCAGCCTAGCAGATTCCACATGGAGCAGAAAAACCACCTAACTGAGCTCAGTCAACCCACAGAAACTAGGAGAAATAATAAAGTATTTTAAGCCACTAACATTGGAGTAGTTTGTCGTGCACCAGGGTTCTGTGATGTGCTGGATATCCTGAAAACTAATGAGAAAATGAATATGTAATTGGTCAGAGGCAAGTATAGTGGCCCTCCGATTGCATATTTTGTTCATTCACTCAATAGATACTCAAGTTCTAGAATACAGTGATGAGTGTGGCATAGATATGTGCCTTCATGGAGTTCTCTAATGGATGAAATCAGTAAACAGGATACAACAAGGATGAAGGTACAGTTGTGAGATCAAGCATGCAACCGCACTGCCTGGTCTTTTATGGCTCAGAACATTCTGCCTTTATTAATAGTCTACTCATCACAAAAGGCTAAGTATGTTGCTGTGGTGAACAATCCTAACAATGATTTAAAACCACAAAAGTTTATATCATTAAAATATGTCCATCTTGGGACCATGAGGGCCGTACTCCATATCATCTAGTGACACGTGTTGATGGAGCCTCCACCCTCTCTGGAGTGTTGCCAGTCCATGGCAGAACAAAAGGATAAGAAGAATTGCTCTTAAAAACTTCTCACATTCTCTTGAGCAAAGTGTCACATGGCCATGTCTAAGAGAGCAGGGAAGTGCAGTCCTACCATGTACCAGAAGGAGGAAAACCAAAAATATTTTTTGAATCAACACTAATTGACTACCAGGAAACATTCAAGCTCTCTGGGCTTAATGCATAGGAGCTGGATTTTGTGATAGTTGTGGACATCTGATCCCTGACGTAGGTATTCTGTTGGCACCTTTTAACCCTGCAGCCAGAAAGCTGGAACTTAAGGGTGAGGAGGAAGGGAGAATTTATTGAGTACCTACACTTAGCAAGGCACTATACCAATGTGCAAATGTATTTCTTCACGTCTTTCAGCTTTCACCCTGGCTAGTGTAGGCTGGAGTTTGAATCTGCCAGGTGCTCCTTGGAAACCCTATGGGGCAGTTCTACTCTGTCCTATAGGGTCACTATGAGTTGGAATGGACTGGACTGCAACCAGTTTGTTTTTTGTTTTGGTTTAGTGTAGGCTGGGAGCAGCCATTCATTAGTTTTTAGTGTTGCAGGCAGTGGGTAAAGTGATCGACTGCTAAGCAAAAGGCTGGCTGTTAGAAACCACCAGGGGATCTGAGGGAGAAAGATGTGGCAGTCTGCTTCCATAAAGATTTACAGCCTTGGAAACCCTATGTGGCAGCTCTGTCCTACAGGGTCCCTATGAGTCTGAATCAACTAGATGGCAGTGGGTTTTGCTTTTGGTTATACAGGACAGTAGTACAGGAAGTTGTGGGGGCACAGAGATGGAATAAGAAGAGACGACAATTAACATAATTTTGGAACTAGAATGGGACAAAGACCATTAACTCATAGGGTTGCTATGAATCGGAGTCCACTAGACCATTAAATCTAACCCTTTACTGTCCCAGACCACAACTTTAAGACTGAAGGGGGAAAAAAAAAAGGTATATATTGGTGGGTTGTTGTAGAACTACTTGTATAACTAGCAGTAACTGATTTGAGTATCGGTCATACTAACTCCCCAATTGTTTTCTGTTCCTAGGTTTTTATGTCTTAGACTTAACATGTTGGGGAGGCCACTATGTACTTGCTTGTTTTATCTTAAAGTTGTACACAAATTCTGCAATGTATCTTTAATATTTTTAAACTTTTCTTCGGACTTAATCGTCCACTGAAGTAGCTTGATCTTCAGCTGGAGACGGCAGAGGTGTAGTGTCTTTTCTGGGTTAATAGTGTAGCACATAGCTCTAGAATCAAGGAGCAGCAAATTAGAATCTGGGTTCTCTTAAATTTCCTACTGTGTGCCCTTGGACAAACTATTCAACCCTTCTGCGCCTCAGGACCCTCTTCTCTACAACGGAGATAATTACAATACCTAACTCACAGATTTGTTGGGAAATCAAATCTGAAAACCCCTGTAAAAAGCTCAGCGTGTTGCTTGGCACAAAAGTCTCAATACTGCCCAAGCTCTCACAGCTAGTAAGTAAGAGAACCCGGGCCAAAGCCCAGGTCTCCTAATTCCTTGCCTAGTCATCTTGTCCCCACGTCACAAGGAATACTTCTTAGAACAGGTTGCAAAAATCGCGCAGACTACCCCACTGGTCTGACCCTCGCAGAGACCCGCGCACAGCAGGTGCCTGACGTGGGCCGCCAGAGTGCGCAGGCGTCTGCACGCGGTGGCCACCGATGATTCCGGCTGCGACGTTAAGCGCCTGCGCACTGGGCCCAGGGCGTCCTCCAGGACTTACCCAGTAGGCAACGCTTTGCTCTCGGGTCAAAATGGCGAGCAGGCCTGCGGGTAAGTGGATTGTATCGTTCCTGGTGGGCATTGCTGCGCTAAGCCTTTTATGTTCGCAGCAACTTGCTCCTCGTCCTCTGGTCACTCTAAGCGGCCAGGTTTGCGGCGTAAGAGGGGATAGCGGCTCTGGCCCAGTCAGAGGACGTGTTTCGCGCTCCCTTTTGCTGTCCCCAGGCCGGGCTTGCGTAGAGGATTGGGATGTGGACCTGCTGTTTTATGAAGGTGCTCGCGGTGTCTCTGACAGCCCTGCATTCCAGCTGCCTGTGCTCCGCAGTCCTTCCCCTCGGTCTTAGAAGAGTGTGCGGCCCGAAACCCTTAAAGCGTTCAGAGACACAAGGAGATAGTGCGCGACTTTTAGCCAGAATGCACTGAGTGCTCACAGTGGGTCAAGCGCTTCCGTATGGATTAGCTTATTAAATTCACCTAGCAGCGCCGCGAGGGAGATACTAAACCAAAGCCAAACGCACTTCCGTGGAGTCTATTCCGACTCTTAGCGACCTATAGGACAGAATAGAACTGTCCCATAGGGTTTCCAAAAGTGTAAATCTTTGTGGAACAGACTGCCCCATCTTTATCCTGTGGAGAGGCTGGTGGGTTCAAACTGCTGACCTTTCAGTTAGCAGCCCAACGCTTCAAAGGGAGAGATATTTCCCTTATTCGCTGGTAACTGAAGCAAAATGACCCTAGAATATAGGATTGGAACCTTTATTATATCCACTCCCGCTTCTCAAACTGGGGATTAGAGGCAGTGGAGCAAGGGCTAAGGAACCCTGGTGGTGCAGTGGCTAAGCGCTCGGTTGCTAACGGAAGGGTCAGCGGTTGAAACCCACCTGCGGCTCCAAGGGAGAAAGATGGGGCAGTCTCCTTCTCTAAAGATTTATAGCCTAGGAAATCCTAGAGGGCAGTTCTGCTCTGTCTTACACGGTTGCTATGAGTCGGAATCGACTTGATGGCGATGGTTTGGGTTTGGAGCAAGGGTTACAGCGAAGCTTCGGGTTAAACTTGGCTTATCTGGAATATAATATCTGTGGATTTTATTTTGGAATAGAATGCAGAAATTGCGCGAATATTTAAAATAGAACGTGGCTATCGAGTAAGCTTCCGCCCCCCCATCTCTGCCCTCTCGCGTTTTAAATTGGAATAGCTTTTCAAAAACAAGTCCTCCCCTTCCGCATTGAGAAACTATTAGGAAACGTCAGATTGCCAGAAAAATCCGTTAAACTAAATGACACTGAGCTTTTGGGGATTGAGAGAGACATTTAAGAATTTGTTATTTCATTAATTTGAGAGTGTTGAAGTCTTGTTTAAGGCACTTTGCTTCTCTGCTCTGTCTGGAAAACAGACCTGAGCTCAACCCTACCACTATGTATCTCTTTGACCTTGGGTAGGATAGCTTCTGTAAGCCTACTTCCTCTTGCAACACAAAAGTGTTGTAAATAAACTGAGCTACTGTGGGTAAAGCAAATACAATCCTGCCTGGCACACAAAAAGTGATTCGTGAATATTATCATCATCATTGGTAAATACAGGCAGTCCCCCCAGTAAAAATGAGATCCATTCCTAAGTCTGTCTTTACGTGGAATGTGTAGCTAAATCAGAACAGGTACATACCGTTCTTATTTATCAGTTAGTCAAATGTTTGTCTTAGAATATAGTACATATTTTACCTTTCTATGCATGTAAAACAAACACTTCCAAACTGCGCAGTGTTTTCATGAGGGTCACAAAGTACTGCATGGGTTCGTTACTACGAACCATTGTGTTTAACTCAAATTTTTAATGTAATAGGATTTATGGCAGTCCATTCTTAAGTACAAGTTGTCCATAAGTCAGACATTAAAAACCCTGGGGACTGCCTGTATGTTTAATTTGGAAGGCAAAGAGCATTCCTAGTATCTAACTCATATTGGAAAATTATAACAAGTATTTCAAATGATGATGATAGCGCCATTAATTTTTGTTTCCTGAATAAGTTTGGGTTAAATTAGGAAGTAATAGTAAATTTCAGCCTTCTCCAATCTGGGTAAATTCTGAATATATGGTTTTTGTTGTTTGGTGCCGTCCAGTCGGTTCTGACTCATGGTGACCTCCTACATACAACAGAACGAAACACTGCCTGGTTCTGTGCCATTCTCACAATTGTTATACTTGAGCCCATTGTTGAAGCCACTGTGTCAGCCCATCTCGTTGAAGGTCTTCCTCTTTTTTGCTGACCCTCTACTAAGTGTGATGTGCTAATATGGTAGAGAGTTTAATCACTCCCTCTGCCATTAATATTTAACTGCTTGTAGTTTCACACCCAAAGAATACGTTTCTCAGTTTTGCTTATGCTGTCCCCTTTGCTTAATCATAATAATGGTAGCTGACATTTACAAGGTGCTTAGAAAGTGCTAGGCACTTTTCAGAGGATCTCATTTAATATATTGTTAAATCATTTAATCCTTGTAATACATATGTGATATATAAATGTATATCTAATATTGATATACATAATTGCATGCCTGTCTGTCTGCCTGTCTGCATTGCACATGCAGACAGGCTGTGCCTCAAACTTCCAGGAACCCTTAAGACTGCTAGGAAAGAGACGTGTACACCCACTGGCATCATCCATTCCGTGGGTGCTACGTTCATCTGTGAGGGAGTTGAACACATGAGACACAGTGTTGGCTAAGTGAAATCCATTATTATTTATAGAAAGCAAACAGGAAACAGTAACAACAAATTCTCAAAGGGGACCTACTTACCCTTCTCAAAATTACCCATGTGCATTCTTATGTCACTGGGCAGGCACACCATGGTTCAGGTCAGATACTGTGTTCACATCATCGCTGCATCTGGCTACCACCACGGCTCTGAGGCTTCTGTTGTGCCCCTGGGCCTTTCCTCTGCTGCTGGCTTTCACCATGCTACCCAAGCCCACGTGGTTCTCTCTCACTGCTGCACTGCCCAAGGGCCCGCATGGCTCCCACCATGCTGCCCAAGGCAGGAGGCGTGTTGCACATGGCACACTCAGGCCTCTTCCCTGCATGGGCAAGTGTTACAGCTCTTGAGAATCAGGCAAATTCTTTAGCAGCAGGTACCCCACTCTTTCTCTGTGGGCTGGGAAGCCCACTGCCGCCATCTTTCTTTCAGTGGGCTAACCAGC